GAAAATCGAAGCTTCTGAGCCTTACTAATGGCACGAAAAACACTGGTGAAGGAGTCTTCGTACTGAGCCGTGTGACGATACTGCAAAAGAATGAGGGGATCAATGGTCAAAGCATGGCATGCTGCACAGTCTTGCTGAAAGCAAAAACCATAGGCATCAGCGACGCTTCCAACCTCCCCAAGGCGCTCGGCATCATGCAACCCATTCACTGCTGGACATGCGATTGCACTGCCTGCGGTCACTTCATTGTGTGACCAGCACCGGGTTCGACAGATCTGGGACGTTTGTGATGAGCACGCTCGCCATCGTGATCGTCGTCCGAGGCAATTGTCTGGACATCTGCAGGTGCGGGAATTGTAACCCCTAATGAGCCAGCACATGTCTGCAAAATCCCTTGAAGCTGTGTACGCAGCTTCTCTTCGTCTGCATCTGTTTGATCCTCTGTCTGTCCTTCTTCTGCAATGGCCGCAGAAGCTGCCACAATCGCCTGGTTGCCAGGCTCTTGAGTGCTGAGCCGCTGAATGTCGCTTCTGGCAGCTGCAATGTCGGCACGAGCTTTTTGGGCAAGCTCTTGCAAAGCAGCTCCATGCCGTCGGTATGACTCCAGCTGTGTCTCCCATGTCTTGATACTTTCTGAGAGATGGGCAAGCCAACTGTTTCGATGTACCCGACGGGCCTCGGCTGCTTCCGCTAGCAACTTCTGGGCTTTGTCCAATGCCTTCGTGGCACTGTGCAATGATTTTGTGACATTTTTGGTCATTCCTTGTTCGGCACGTTCTATGGCTGCTGTGGCCTCGGGAGGCCTCGTTTGGGCATCTGGATAGGCATCTCGAAGGAGCCTTGCAAATTCTCTGTTGTCGGCTTGAAGCTGCTGAGTTGCAGCTGATGTTGTTGAATCTGCTACTGGCACTGTATTTACAGCTGAGACCAGTGATGTGGCCCGATCGAGAGTCGGCCACGGTGGCGGGGCTGGAGGGGGTGGTAGAGGCAGTGCTGATGGCTGCCCATCTCCACGCCCTTGCCCTTTGCGCCCTTTGCCTCTTCCTTTGTTCGACTGAGCATTGTTGCCCTTCGGCCGTCGTGGTCGACGTGCCGTTCTGGGTTTGGGCTGATGCTTTCTGGATGACCTTCTTGAAGAAGAGGAAGACTTTTCCCAATTTTGCTGTGCTTGATTCTGCCAATCTGACCAGCGATTGTACGTCCAGCCCGATGCCTCTTCGGGCTGTGGCTGTGACTTGTGAGGAGTTCCATTGCGCCACGAATCTCCACACTGATCGCAAAAGGCAGCTTTTTTCCCATTTGTTTTCATACACGATGAACACCTCCACGGGCCATCCCAATCTGCATTCATTTCTAAGGAAATGAGGCGAAGGTGAGTGATATCCCGCGAGTGATGTTTGGCCAAAGTGGCCCGCAAATGGTGAAGCTGAGAGACCGACAAACGGATGTGTCCGTGCTTGTGCAACCACCACCTGCGACGAGCTGCTGCTCGCTTCCTTCTCTCTAATCTGCGCTGAGTCGAGAGCGCCACTCTGAAAAATAAAAATGAATACACTGAGCACCCAAAACCACTGTACCTGAAAACCCATAAACCACTGCACACTCCCAGGGCGAACCAGTTAAGGAGTTAGTGCCGGTAAAGGCCACCTGTAAGGTCGGTGCAGCACCAGTGAATGAAGAGCCCCAATGCAAAAATCAAAAACGAATTGCAAATTGTAAATGAGAATTGGAACCAGAAGGCAAAATGTGCAGCAGCTGGACCAAAAAGTACACAATTCCACAAGCAAGAAGAATCAATTGCCAGTTGAAGGTGCACTGAAAGGGGGTTTATGGACAACCCCAAACCAAGGCAGCCAGCTGAAAATGTTACACAAAGCCGCCCGTGGGCAAGTGCGAAGAAGCCCACTAAAGTGATGGCAACACGAGAACCCCAAATGAGCGGACCGAGGGGAAAACTCGGGCCATACACCTTCAATTCTGAAATCTTGATAATCAAAGGGAAAAGCATTTGTGTCGATGTCGTATGACAAGGTGGCAATGGAGCACCAAAAATTCTGTGGTGCTGGCAAAAAAGTGCTCCCTTAGGACACTCACCAAGGGCCGCATTGTTTTCAATGCAGAACCTCTGGCATTCAGCTTCAGGGAGAAATCAGAACGGTTGCGAAGAACTTCTGACATTTGTCACCGACAATGAGAGACTCCTCATTGTAAAGGTCTGCTTTTGGTAGAGCACAAAGTCCATGAAAGTTGAAGCCGTGTAAGCGTCATCCCCAACCAATTTCCAAACTTCAGCCCCCACTGCAACGACTTCAACATCTGCAGAGTTGGCACCGTAGGCACAGGCCAGCGCCAGGGCGAACATAGAAGGGCACATAGAATTAAAATCGGCCTGGCTCAAAATCACTCACTAAAATTACAAAAAATACACCACTGTCACCACAATATGGATTCAGTAAAATCAAATCTTGACAAACGTAGTCCCTGTGATACCAGTTTTTGAGCCAAACAGACACCTAGCTAAAAAATGCTGAAGCACAAAATTTGCGGCAAGAAGTCATCGACTGTCCAAACCTGAACCGCTGAAATCTATGCTCAGCATACCTCTCTGCAAAACACCACGGAATTTAAGCCAAAGATCCTTTCTTCTCACGGATTTCAAGCAGTGACAGAAAGAGATCAAAAAGTGGCCAGTGTCTAGCGCACTTTGTGAACTTTCAATGGTACTGCAGTGGCTCTTTTCGCATTTCTTCCGTCAGCAGCAGGTGTTTGTACCGGGACACTACATCAGGGCGTCTTGAAACTGCCTTGACGGAAGTCCTGCCATCATTGAAACAGGGGTTGTGCGAGCCATTTCTGTGGGTACTCGTCAGCGTTGGGTGAGCTGAAGTTGATTCAATACACTACAGTACCCTCAGATCAACATGGTGATGGCAAATTGTTGTGCCATCTTTCAGTGGCATGAAGCTCATCTGCATCTGAGTAGGATGTTTGCTGTTGCCAGCTTGGGTTTCGAGAGGATACCCGAGATGCATCAAGAGATCAAGAGACTGCATCATACCGGGTATGTCTCAAAAGTTGGAACCGCAAACTCTCATGGTATATCAGCATCTTGTCATCATATCATGTTCTCATTAAAACGGCCGTTTTTAGGATATCCCCCCTTAACAAAGCCCGAAATGATTCAGCTGAGCCCTCATCCAGGTCCACCTGTCCCCAGGACAAAATGGCTAGCGGCTAGGATTTCTGCAATTTGAATCCAGCCATTTAGAGTGAAGGCTTTCCCACACTAAATACAATGGTTCCCAACTCTAAATGGCTGGGATTCAAATAAGTTGAACAACTTATTTAGGCTGGGATCCATTTTTGGAACACTAAACAACTACACTAAACTCACTATAAGTTCCCAAAAATACTTTGAGCCCATAGGGTCCCACCAAATTCCAAGCCCATCATTTCCATTTTACGAGGTCGACCAGGCCTTTCGATTCGATCTTGATCAACAACCAGGACCTGCTGGTGGAGGTCACCCAAAAAAATCTTGGACCTGCAGGAACACTTCTAGTACCCTCTGGTAAACGTTTGCATAGCTATTGAAAATGGCCATAGAAATAGTGGATTTTCCCATTAAAAATGGTGATTTTCAATAGCTATGTTAGTTTACCAGAGGGTATTTACTAGTAGAAAGCTAGATTAGAAAAACCAGAAGCCAACCAGCTGGTGTTCCAGCTTTTTGAACTTGAACCAGCTTGTCATTCTGTGTAGGCAAAGCTGCGGGCTCATTGCGAATTACTATACCAAATAAACCAGCAACGATCAAAAAAAATATAGCCAGATCTGCAAAATACTTGGCACTCAAAATCATCAGGATAATCCCTTGGCTGACAAAGCAATGTGTTTTTAGTGTCCTCGTTGAGAGCCCTTCGCAGGGTGAAAAGGAATTCAAAAAAGATTGCCCTCAATCCATGTTGCCAACAATCATTATATTATAATTCTCAGGGAATATCAGCAGTATGTCATGGATATCATTCTTAGTTGATACTTTGTCCATCTTTATCCCTGTTGTACAGAAGTGATCCCACATCAACACCATGGCCTTGAGCCGAGCTTCGGCCTTGCTGTGAACACACATCGGTCGTCTCCCTGAACCTCTAAGATGTCCAGCACGGCATCTTTCACGCGGAAAGCATATGTAACGACTGGGCCAACAACCAATAGAAAGCCGACGCGCATGGTCAGGCACGCTGCACACTGCATCGACATACTGGAAACAGCATTGAGCCACTGAGCACAACACGATGCACTTGGAAGGTTTGGCAGAAACAACTAAGAAACTTTTTGAAGGCACATCCATGGCACGTTGAGAACGCAATATGTGCGGGTTCATGAATTCACCACTGCAGGAGCAGGCATATACAAAGAAAACCCAGCAAACCTGGACGTTGCTCTTTACTAAAACATAATCATAGTATGCCAGAGTGTCAGGAATTGTGCACACCCAATGAGACACAACTTGTCACACTTGGCCTTGGCAGCCACCGCTTGTTGCCTCCGAGAGCGGTCACTGGGTGAGGAAGCATAAGAGAACCATCTCCAATCCATGGTTCCTACAAGTATGAAATGGTGGACATGTACGATGACCATCGATAACCATTTTTCAAGATCTTGTGTTGGACATGGCTAATTTGTGCCAATTTGAGTTTGCAAGTGGATATCACTTAAGACTTAAGACACTTAAGAAATCAGACTTCCGGATCAGCCTCCATGCCATGGAGCCGTCTCCACACAATCTTCCTGGCTTCAAGGATCACCTGGCACAACAGGAATCACGTTCACAGAGCCCAGAACTGCCAAACATGCTCAGATGGTTAGTCCCCAAAGACAAGCACCACGGAACGAGATGCCCTGATGTTCACCTCAAGGTGCATTGCAAGCCCATGGGCAAAGCCAAAGCATGGCAAAGCACTCCTTTTTCCAAACGGCGCGGCCTGGGTCAATAGATGTCAATAGCCTCCCTCAGACTTCTTCTTCTCAGGCAAATCGATCCAATAAATGTAGTCTGCAAAGCCTTTGTCGCGATTGAATTCAATCTCACTCACTTTCCGCCCCTCTTCGAAGTCGCATTCGATGGGCTTCTCTGGAAAGCATAGGATGGGCTTCTCGAGGACAATGTCATCTGGATTGGCGGTATCGTACACAAAGAACATGCGCTTCGTTTCCCCAATGTCCGTGAAGTTGACTTCCAAACACTCATCGGGTGTGGCAACTTTTGTGGGTGTATTTAAGTTGGGATCGATCATCTTCTCCTGACAGGTGGGCTCGTCATCCTCGTCATCCAGGTCCTCCTTCTCAGGTTTGGCTGAGGCCTGCCATCCTTCTTGCCGAAGGCAAGTCTCCCGAGCCTGCCTCTGCATCTCAGGGGAGCAACGCTGCATCTTCTGCATCGTCTTCTGCAAATCGTGGCAGGTGCTGGCCCCGATCTCGGCCAAAGAAGACATTTCCTCAGGATCCTTCTCTTCCCGGAACCAGCCCTCCTTAAGCCCTTCCTTGTAGACATCGGGGTGTTTTTCCAAGAAGTCTGAGGTCACTGGCTGGTTCTCTTTGGGCTTTTGCTTGAATCTGTTCCGCTCTTTCCTGAACTTTTCGAGGCCTGGTTTTGCCCAAAGAAGCCGAGGGTCCTGCCCCATGTACGCACCACCCACGTCGCCTTGCTTGGGTTTGGTATCAAATTTGGAGACCAAGCGGACCTGCCTGGGGCTCAGGACCGAGTTGCACATGCGTTCTCTGGTGCTGTTTTGCAGCACGTTGAACTCGCCACAACATTGCTGCAGCCATTCGACCTTTTCGCCCTTGGCCAGGAAGGGCCAGGACATGCAGCTCCGGCCGTTCCATCCACAGGAACGACCACAACAGCCTAACATTTCTGCCTCCACTTTGCGCACGACATTGTCGGCGCAGGTGTCTTCAAAAGGCAAACTGAAATCTTCTCGATGCATCTTCACGATGTTTTTCTGGATTTCGTTCACAATCTCGTTGCACTCATCCTGGCAAACGTGCTGCAGCAACTTTTGGTGCTCCATGGAAGCTGTGAATCCTTCTGTGACCAATGGGTCTAGGCGACCCATTCCCTTGGTCCCATTGTGCTTCGAGAGTGCATTGGCTTCATGGAAGTCATGGAAGAGAGCTTTGCTTTGACGGGTGCCGACATCGTCCAAGGTCCCCGTCAGGACCTCCTGGCAGACCTGTGGGGTCACCCCCAACTCCTTCCCGTTTTCCTTCAAAAAGGCGGAGTGCACAGCAAAGAAGAAACGGCGGTGCATCTCCGCCACGACGGCCGTGCAGAATCGCACCGCCGCCGCCTCCACCACCCTGGAGCGCTGCGCGGCATACTTCCGGGCATTGAGACATTTGCATCCCGGGCTCGTGTCGGCATCCAGGCGAAAGGAACGCCACGTGTATCCGGCGGCATCTTTGACTTCCTCCACTTCCCCGCAGCCGTCGGATGGATACTCATCGGATGCAGATTTTTTCTCAAAACTGCAATAACACATCCCTTCACTCTCAATTACTCCCTCCTCTTTCAGCTTCTCAGAAGTTGCGGTGCCTTTGATATCGCGGCACTTTCGGTCCCCAGGCTGCTCCTGTGATTTTTCAAAGGCAGTGAGACATTCGCAGCTCCTGGCCGCATCTGCCAGGCGAAAGGAATGGAACGTCATGAACTTGCCTTTGGTATATATGGAGGGGACTTCGACTTCCTCAAATTCCCCGCAGCCGCGGGATGGATAGCGACCGATAACACCACAATAACACCTCTCTGCATTCCGAAGTCCCCACACTCTCAGCCTCTCAGGAGTTAGGGTCTTCTTGATATCCTGGCACTTTCGGGGCCATGCCGTCAGGGCAGCCGAAGTCTCCAACCCAGTACGCGCCGCTTCCGCAGCGTGCAGGGCCAAAGCGAGAATGGCAATGAAGCAAATCTTCCCGCGGCACATTGCGCGTGGAAAGGATCGAGGCTTGGCAGCGAAACGGGCAGGTTGCAAACAGATTGAGCGCTTGAGTGCGAACAAAGACAGAACGCAACATGACAATCTGAAGCTATGCCGAATTGTCAAGTTGCAAGACTTCGACACAAGCATTCTCTGTGGATGTTCGGACTCAAGTTTCACGGATTCTTGTCAGTAACAACTGGTGCAAATGTGGACATGCGCAAATCCAGCAGTGCAAACAGTCGCAATCCCGCGGACCTTCACATCATCCAACAGCATTTTGAAATCTTTTGAGCAAATGCCCAGCCTCCAGAGCGTCACAAAGGTGGATGGATTGATTTCGAACTCTCCATGGAAACTATGAAAACTATGTGCGTTGGATTTCGCTCTTGCAAAACAGGTGCTTCCAGTACAGTCTGAGGTGCAAAAGTGCTTCTGAAAGGCACCTGGGTGACCTGTGCAAAAACCTAGGTCCTCTTAGGTGTAACCGACAGATTTGCATTGTGGTAAACGTAAGAGATGGTTCTCTATGAATCTTTATACCATCCGTTTATGGTGATGTTTTATAGTTTTCGCTGCTCTCCTTCATGTCTTTTCGCTGCTCTCCTTCCATTTTGGCCATGGAAACAAATGCAAAGCACTCCGATACACTCCGTTTGTCACTCCATCTGTGAGGGACTGCTCCTTGTGCCTCATTCTTCAGGTTGCCCAATGTTTCTTGGATCTCCGCAACCTTCCCAACAAAATCACGGAAAGCAAAGCATTCCTCAATCATTCTCAGCAGCTTTGTGTTGTGAAAGAATCTGATCATTCATGAAATGTTTCCTTCAGCTTGTGAAGAAAAGCTCTATGAAAGCCAGGGCAAAGTGCCTTGTCCATCGAACCTCAGCTAAAAAACAAAAACAAGTATCCACTTCAATGATCAGCGCAGAAATCAGCCGCAAACCTGAAAAGTTTTTCGCCTTTTGCTTCACCTGGTGAGCCGGCGCAGGGACTGTGTGTCAACACGGGTATAGCACCGTAAAATAGCAATGCTTGATATACATGTTAATAGGGAGAATGGTTCAAACCATGAATTTTTGGTTTTTGTCCATGTTTCAAACAACCCATTCCCTCGTTTTTAAGCGATGTAAAATGGATTTGGTACCTGAAAATAAGGAACTCCCAACAGAAATTGCCATCTGAATAGGGAACATGATGAAAACCGATGGGATTTGGGTGTCTCCGGTGTCTCCCAATATTTTCAGAGCAAAATGGCACGTTTGGGGCCTGGAAGACATTGGCGCGCGACATCTCTGTCTCCAAACTCTGCACACCTGCATTCAGTCGGGTTTGTCTGAAACCAACCCAAAATGCAATTATTTATCATGATTACTCATCTTCAAAAATTGGGTCGCTACAAATATTGCAGTGATAAATTTCCCCTGTTTTCCAAACAAAATTCATCCGCCTTGGGTGAAGTTGACCTTGCTATGCAAAGTGCACAGTGTTTGCTGCCTTCGGAAGAATCTATCACGGTCGTATTGAGGTCGCTGATGGAATCTTCCATTCCCTTCAGCTTCTGGGTTACCTGACACAGGAACAAGCATACAAAACAGTTGCTCCATGTTGTTCCAGTATCCCTCTGTCTTTGCTTGGAAGCATCTGATCATTCATGGGAACTTTGGTTCAGCATTTAAACAAAAGCTTTGGCGATCAAAGCCAAGCAGAAGTGCCTTGGCCATCCTTGTCCATCGAACCTTAGGCGTTCAAAAAACAAAAGACTCCATTTCAAATGATCTTCAAGGTCAAACTTCAAGTTCAGCCGAACACCTGAAAAGCTCTTCTCATTCTGCTCTACCTCAGCCCAAGCAAAAGTGTGCGAGTCTGAGTGTGTCTTTTCATCTGAACAAATCTACTGTATTCAACGTCTCTGTATTATTTCAACCCTGCGATTTCTTTCGTTCAGCGCTGAACCTGACTGATACGATCCGAAAACTTCATGTCTTTTCGCTGCTCTCCTTCCATTTCGGCCATGGAAACAAATGCAAAGCACTCCGATACACTCCGTTTGTCACTCCATCTGTGAGGGACTGCTCCTTGTGTCTCATTCTTCAGGTTGCCCAATGTTTCTTGGATCTCCGCAACCTTCCCAACAAAATCACGGAAAGCAAAGCATTCCTCAATCATTCTCAGCAGTTGTGTTGTGTTGTATCCACCTCATGTTCTTGCTTTTTCTGTTCTTTTTCTGCAGCGGCTGCACCTCCAACTTCAGCCACTGTGAATCTATCATCACTTCAAGAGTGGCAAATACCAAGAACATCTTAGACATCTTTAGACCTTGCTATGCAAAGTGCACAGTGTTTGCTGCCTTCGGAAGAATCTATCACGGTCGTATTGAGGTCGCTGATGGAATCTTCCATTCCCTTCAGCTTCTGGGTTACCTGACACAGGAACAAGCATACAAAACAGTTGCTCCATGTTGTTCCAGTATCCCTCTGTCTTTGCTTGGAAGCATCTGATCATTCATGGGAACTTTGGTTCAGCATTTAAACAAAAGCTTTGGCGATCAAAGCCAAGCAGAAGTGCCTTGGCCATCCTTGTCCATCCACCGGTTCATGAAGATTGAGACCAATCGCTCATTCCCAAACCATAGAAATGAACAACACCCCTGGGAAATACACAAATATGCGCTTTTTTGATCGCTGTGGTCTGCATCCAAATTGAATCCAGCGTCAACGCCAAGAGTCCCCAGTGCCAAATCCATGCGGCTCTTGAGAGGTTCACTCCAACAAACATCAGACAACAGATTTTTCGTGTCCTTTGAAGCCCGAATCACCAGCCGAACATGATGTTCTAAGATGTTACATGAAAGTTTTTGTGCAACTTTGATGACCTGCAAAATACACTTCACCATCCAAGGAAACCAGAAATCATTAAAAATCATTAAAAATCATTAAAAATCTCCAAAAACCCTCACTTCGCACCTGCAGAAGCGGTCCATCCCCTTGGCTCAAGCCCTGCATTGCCAGGTTTCTGCATCGCCTGACAATCAGAAACAAGCAATATGTGTCGTGCACCAGACTTCAAGGTGTTCCATGATTCAGCACACGTCGTCGAGTGAATTTGTAAATTTCCGGTTTTGGGATGATCGACTGTCAGACTGTTTGGATAGAACCTGTTTCTAGTTGTCTAAAAAAGACATCCCATGACATCCCCACAGACTTGGTACCTGAATGCACCGTCTTTTTCTTTTTTCTTCTTCCGCTGAAAAAACAGGTCTCGTACTGGCTTCGTGCCAAGCTGACAAAGTCTCGACAAAGAGTCATGAATCATCTGGTTTTTTTCACCATAATGTAAGGCCTTCGTCGGTGACGTAAGCGGATATGGGCCATATGGGTATGTGATGTGGGTCAAAATATGGGTACAGTACCAATAGTATCAATGCCTCCATAGATCAGAAATGGTCAGATATCATTTTGGTGGATAGTCCGGGATAGTTTTGACCCATACCCGAAGGTGAAACTGCAAAACCTCAAGTGCTGTATGTCTTGTTTTATAAAACACCCTGTGTAAACAAAAAGTTCGTCCCAGTTGCATGTAGACTTTAGCTCATGGTTGTCTCTCGTTGAAAATCCCTTTACTTGAACACCACAGCACTCGACTTCCGTATAAAAGTCTGAAAGTTCTTAAAGAGATATCAATGTAAAGATTTAAATAGTTTGCAGGGCTCCCGCCGCAACTTAGCACTGAATTGGAACCGGCAACCACAAAATTGACAACGGTTGCAAGTTGTTGCCCGTTTCACAAAGTCCACGCGCGTAGCCTGGGCCGATCACCGTGTGTAGAAAACCTAAAGTAAACTCGCTGATACAGGCGATAGCTGAAAGTTGGGAAACGAAACTCATCTCTCTGAGGCCATGGAGGACCAGTGATGGGCACAAGGCCCGTTCCTGTCCCAACGCGCGACGGACCCGAGAATGCCAGGAGAATCGGCGACTGCCGATGGAATGCACTGCCACCATCTCGGGCTGAGGGCAGATCGAAGTCAGCTTATGCACGGACATTGCAGTTGCAGTTCCAGCGTCAAAGTCTTCCAGTTGCCAAAGCTCCTGGTGGCTGCACCCAGAATATCCCAGAATGATGGACAAATTTGTTGGCACATTCGCAAAATCCCAAGCGCGGATCGAACGGGAAAAGAACATCTCCAACCGGGGTGCTACAACCAAAGAGTTGCACCTTTTTGTCGAACACCAAAAACATGCAGAGCAATGTCGGCTAGCTTTCAGGCCTTGACTAGAAAGCTTAGAGGAGTGGTTCAATCAGTTCGTTGCCCATGAAAAAACTGGCCAGCTTTTGGAACATCGTTTTCTGGCGGAAAGTGCAAACAAGACCATGAGAACACCAGGCGTGCCCTGGCAACTATGGGTGGAACACAAGTTGTGAAAGATGAATATGATGAATTTGATTCTGATTCACATGATATAATATTATACATATATCATATATATATATACATATATCATATATATATATATACATATATCATATATATATATATACATATAATATATATATATATTACATTCCCATGCTTGGTCTTGTGGGGAGCTCCAGCCTCGTCAGCCTCGTCAGACTTCATGGGGCGAACTTCCACGCTGACCAAGCTGCTGGGATCGTCTGTGCGGCTCGGTTGGCTCTCGAGCACCTCCTTTGGAATGGGGCTCACTGGGAGGAACTCGTTGATGACCACCACATCTTCCAAGATTTCCTGGGCGACAAAAAGCGACAGGAAAAAAATCAAAAAAATCCACTGCCGAAAACTCATTTTTGGGTGATTCTCCTGGGGGATGATAAGCCCCATTTAAGAGCTCCAACTCAAGATACGGTGAAACCTTTTCAATCCAAGCCCTTAGACCCCATCGAAGCCTAGGAAACTGTTCAACCTTTGTAATGTTTGGGAGTGGCTTTTCAGCCTCGAAACCTATGTTGGCTTAGACCCCAGCAGAACCGGTTGAGGAATTTTCCAAAAAATAAGACGATCATTGGATTCCCAGCTTCAAAAAGAAGAATGCAAAGTAAAGCACAGCCGGCAGAGAAGCTGAAGATGGGCATGTAGGGTCCATCCCAGGATATGTCATGGTAATAGATGGCTCTGGAAGCTGCAAGGGCTAGGGGGATGATGTATCGGATGTAGCCCACATAGATCTTGACCTCATCATGAAGCTTGGACCAAGCCGTAGGTGCTGCAATGGCTCTTGCTGTACGAACCCCAAAAGATCTTTTCAGGAACTGAAAGGCCAGCCATCGCAGCCATCCCAGGCGAGAAAGAACGTTCAGCATGAAGGTCAAGCATGCAGCACCCACCCAGGTGAACTCACCGTCTCGGACTGCACTTGAAAACATGCCAACCATCCGTGCTGATTCTGCACAGCCGTGGGCTGCAATCAACATCCAAGGCATATTCACAAGGGCGGTGTCACCAGGGACTGCAGGCCGCTTTGCAACCACAAGTGCTGAGTAGATGGTTTTCGCATAGAAGACACATAGAGTTTCAGACAGGGCAGTTGCAATGGGTAAGAATAAAGTGGCAGCGCTGTTCAGACCTGTGTCAAGCAGGAAAGTATATGTCCAAATTATGACGGATGCAAGTAATCCAGGGCCAGCTGTTCCTGTGATGTTTGCCAAAGCAAAGGCTAAACATGAGGGCCAGCGGCGTTCAGGAAATGTGCGTCCACTTCGAACATACAAAATGCCTGAGCCCACAGCACCAAGAACCAGTCCACCCACGATTGATGAAACCACATCTGCCGCGTGAAGCGCACTCAATCCAGAACAGACCAGAGTCCCTGCGAAGATGCCTACACAGTGACTTAAGTATGTGGGTGGCAAGCCAGCAAAACTGAGGGAGACGCACTCACCTAGACCAACGCCGCAAAACACTGCGCTGTTGATCCCCGTCAACAAGGCCCTCCACCATGGAAAGTCCCCAGTTTCAGCATGCAGTTCAAAATGAATAGAGACAACCTGTCGAAGCGTATGCCATAGAAGTAGGAGCAAAATGGACAAGATCATCCAACGCAAAGAAAACGTCCCACAGGATTTCAAGTCTGGATTCATCACCTGGACATCAAAGTCCTGAGCCAGCTGCATATCCGGTTTCAGTACAATTTCCCCTGACATTTCGGCCTCAATACAGCCTTTTGCATCGAAAAGACGGATGTGATGCATCCGTCCACCTGTCATGAGAATCTCCAAGGTTTCCTTCGGTTTTAATTCGAAGGAATCCGGGCCGGTGCTCGACCAGTGTGTGCGGAAGGCACGGCGCAAACGCTGGGCAAATGCAGTGGATTTCCTCTTGGGGGGCTGCCAGAAAAAGCAACCCTCCAAGTCCTGAAAGGCTTTGACCACAACACGCTCTTCAGAGTTTTGATCATTTTGATCTGTAAGAACATGTAAAAGTCGACCGCCTGCATTTAGCCGCCTTTTCGCCAAGACCTCCTCAGCAAGAGTTCCGGGACCAATCACAATGAGACAATGATCCCGGTAGCTTTGCCTGTTCAATGCCAACAAATTGGTCATTGGCCGGCGAAATTTCGACGTGAAATAACACAGTTCTGAAAAAACTACATCTGGTTTTGGGAAATTTGGGAAATCGTCCAAACATGTGAGATTGCAACAAAGATGCGCATTGGATCCGTATGGTAACTATGCGTGACTATGTTCCGATGTGTATTCCGTGTAATGATTGGCCGTTTTTGGCAATTCGTTTTTAATGATCAGTAGAGAAGTATGCCAATGATCGGTTCTTCTGATTGACTCACCACCCCGTTTTGGGGAAAAAAAATTGAGCCATGCGCCTCAGTTACGCAAGCACGGGTCTTTCGTTCGTGTCAGAATCACATGACCTGTGAACCCTGCAATGTTCGTGGTGCTTAAGCAGTCTCTCTCAGTCAGTGATCCAAAGTTTTGTGCCAGTAAACAGCAAGTTCAACAGAGAATAATGACGTGATCAACAGCTGTTTTGCACCCATGTGTAGGATTCCGTATCCAACAAGAAAGCGGCCTGCAGTCGCCGCAAGATCCGCAAGGGGGTTCGCCATGTCACAATTGGCGACCCAAAATGGAGTAGTTTAGAGCCACACGAAGTTGGACATCCTTGGGATTTGAAACAAATGGGTACGGCTGGAGTCATGATCAAACCATGTTTGGAATGACTAAAATTGACAAACAGGTACTTGTCATACTCCATTTTGTTCATCTGAAAAACAGGCAACGTGCTCACACCTCAGATTTTACTCGTCGCTTTTGAGCCACTTGTTGGGCCACGGGCAAGCACAGATTTGTGCGTGTCATCCTTGCACCAAGAGACAGGCCATGCTAATCTTCTCTGTATCGTTTCAACTGCCTACAACCTATCACATGGGTGTGAGTGCCATGACTGAAGTTTGACACCCCACCTTGGCAACTTGTTCCTTCAGAACTTGTTGTCATTCTTGAAACTTCCATGCAAATTATGGCTGTGTTTCCAGCCAACTGTGCTATTACATTCAGCTCTCATCCTAGGTTGTCAAGGCCGCTGAGAAAAAAAAAATCTGTCTCTCACTTGGTTGAATTCATTCGCCTGGGCTGTGGCAAACATTCCATTGCCTCATGCTTTGATTGCCTGCCACATGCCTTCAAGCTATGTCACGTAGGGTCTCGATCTCTTGCATCGCTCGTGTGAATGTCGCAGCAGCTTCCCAATCTCCTTGTTCTTCAGCTTGAGCTCGTCGGCTCTGCAAAGAAGCCAGCGCATTCTGAAGTCGAAGTTGGTTGGCCTGAGAAAAGGCCAGCATTCGGTCATGATCATATTCATCTCTATCTCCAAAGTGGATTGCCGCCCACTCATCTGGGTCGGAAACCTCTCCTTGATCTGACTCGAAATAGCGTCTCCTGCGACTTTCTGGAGTTTCTCCATCCATATCGATGTCCTCGTCCAACTCAGACTCACGAACTGCACGGTCAACATGATGACCATTGAGATTTGCTACGTGTTGCAACGCAGCTTCAGCTAGATCCACATTCTCAAAGAGTTGAGGTTCAGGTTGGGCTTCCACATGAGGTTCCTCCAATGCTGCAAGTGCTCCAACTGGATACTGGCCACCAGTCAGATACTCGTCCAAGCTTTCGTAGACACCCTCCATGTCGGTCATGAAGTCACCTTGTTGATTGGATTCCCTGAACCTGTCGTGCAAATAACAGATTTCTCGGCGAAGCATCCACCAGGCTAGCCACAAACTTGGTTTGATCAGCAATCGAAACCTGCAAGCCATCAATGCCGGAGCATGGCGAATCGTCACCATCCGCATCCATTCGTAGTGCTTCCAAATCAAAGGTCCTGATAGGAGAAATACCACTCCAGCAACCAATGAAAACATTCCCATGATCTGCGCCACCAGGAAGACAAACTTCATGAAGTAGTATGTGCAGCCGGTACTTGTGGTGACTGTCCATTCTGCCAGTGTCCACAAAGCCAGTTGCACGCCATCGCTGTTGGTCTCGTCCATGTCTCCACCTGCCACAGATCCATGATTGAAAAGGAAGTCACTGTTGCAACCTTTCAACTGCATGCACATGTTCATGCTTGCACCAGCCATTTGAATGAGTCTCATGCACTGCTCCATGGTAACCCTATTGATTCTTCTGATACGTCTGATCTCGTTGTCATCGTTTGTTTCACTGTCATTTGGAGAAAAGAGTCCAATGAGTTTTCCCAAGAACTTTCTGCGTTCTCCACTGAGACGTTTCGTGTTGAGATCTCCAGGGTTGATTTTGGTACTGATTTTGAAAATCGAAAATACACCAGTCCGCAGCAAATTTTGCAAATAAAACTGCTTGATCTGGATGTGCTTCAATCTCCCTGTTCCAGTTCTGCGGATCAGTGCTAAGGCCGAAGACGAATCCATGAAAAGCCTTTGTTGTACCACCTCATTGCTTGTTTCACTCTCATCACCAGCTAGGAACTTGCACAAACGGAATAAAAGAATGCATTCCACCATCAATCCATTTGCAGCGTAAAGTTCAGCTTCACAGCTTGAAAGTGCCACTGAAGCCTGAGTTCTGCATATGCTCATCAGCAGGGCTCCATTCAAGAAAATGAGGCCAGAGCTTGTGCTCCGTCTTGTCATTCGGCAATCAGCCCATGAGCTGTCACTGAAAGCTTCCAGAGTAAAACGACCTTCTGTTGACCATTCTGGGATTGTTGCTTCATTTTGGATCAGGTCGTCATTCCTCCAGAAATTACTCAAAGTCTTTCCTTCCTCTGTTGTTTTCAAAAGGATTCCACTGTCAGGCGTCCCATCAAGATAGGAAGTCAGGTGTTTCAGTGCTGCCATCGCCTTTGTGCTTGGTTTCGACATGTATGATGACAGAGTCTTTACTGCAAATTGGATATCCGGTCTGTCCATCGCAATGTACAATACCAACCCAAGACCAGATCGAAATAATGCAGCCTGCTCGTTGTCCAATGTCTCTGATTCAATCACAAAGTCAGCACTGTAAGCTTCCAATGTTGCATGATATGGGAGGCCCTTCTTGCGTCTTGCGCTCACCTTCATCATTGAAACCAGCTTTGGAACATACATTGCATTTGGTTGTATGAGGATTCCATCATCTCTCATAGTGATCCTCTTTTTCAAATACATGAGTTGCTCTCCACTGGCCGGACAATGGGGTCCATCGACTTTCATCTTCAATGTGGCTCCAATTGTGCTTTTGAACCATTCTACATCATCTGGCAAACATGCTAGGAGAATGTCGTCCACGTGGATGTTCACAAAAATCTTCTTGTTCAAGTCCTTGTGTCGCATCACTGTTGGTGATCCAGGGAATGATACCAATCCTGCGTTTTCACATATGGAGGCAAAGTGTTGATGCCATTTCAATGCTGCATTCCGTTGACCTGGAAGACAACGAAGCAAACGCCAGTGAGTGTCAGGTTTACCTGTCAAATCACGAACCCACTGAGGAATTTCAACATACATCTCATCTGTTTGAGGCACCATCAAAAATGCATCCGAAATGTCAAGTGAAGTCACCGAGAGGTTGTAAATCAACGCAAAGACCAGCAACATCCTCACTGCAGAAAAGGCTGATGTAGGGGCAAAACTATTTTCATCAGTGGCTGAGGTCTTGAATTCTCGAGCCACTACTCGGCACCTTCTGATCCAAGCATTGCCTCTGAAACGCCAGTCAAATACTAACGTTGTATCAACTGTGTTTTCTTGCGCAGCCTCTTCTGGAGAAAGGGTAACAGGTCTGATGACCTCCATGCGATGTAACTTTTCAAGTTCATCAAGGATTGCACGTTCATCAAGCTCTTGAAGTTTCTCTGGGCTCACATCTGGTGGGCCTTCTCCTTCACCATGTTGTGCTATGTATTCATCCTCAAGGTCAGGATACTGAAAACCATTCTCCAAATCACCTGTGAATTCATCCATCTCATCGTTGTGACAAATCTCAATGTCTGCCACTTGGTTCACCTTGCTTTCAAACTTGGCCGCCTTGCTCTTTGGAACAATAGCTGGATCATCATCCATCTTTTGCATCTTGGCACGCTCGTCAGTCAAAGGAGTGCTGGAAGGATGTTTGCAAGAACCAGAGGGGATTTCTGCATCTTCATCGCTGTCTGCAACCGGAGTGACTGGGGCTTTCAACATGCTTGGTGACACAGCCCCACCTTGCTCAAACATCTCTTGTTGCCCTTCTGTATCTGAAACATCATCCAATCCAACGTTCTCCCAAGCATCCACCTGTGCCAAACCATGTTGTTGTTGTTGAGCAACATCATCATCGCCAAGAGCTTCTGAAGCAGAGTATCCGTCTGAAAGAACTTGGTCACGCACTGCTTCAGCCTCTTCATCTATCTCCTGTGGTATTGGACCTTTCAAAGCGATGATCTTTTGTTTGGCTCTCACCGCTGGTTTGTGTCCGAAGAAGTCCAAGGGTCCATCAGTAAGCCCAAGGATGAGCTCAGCATCCCATTGATTGTTGATCTTTCTAACAGCTTTTGTTCGAATGACACACTGCCCTTCTGTCCAAAGAAGATCCATTCCAGTTGTCTCTTCCTTTCCTAACCAAGCTCCCTTCTTCCATGCCGGTTTGTACTTCGATGACTTGGGGTCAAGGCCATACACAGTTTGACCAAAACATGCCACCTTTCCATGGTACGGTCGGCCTCAAAGGGATTGGTGTGGTGTCACCTTCATGGTGGAGTGAACTTGGTAATGGTTGTAGAGCCAAGCCGCATGCATTGCAGCCCATTGCACTATTGGATGCCCAGCTGGAACCACAACTTTCATCTCACCTTCAAGTTGACAAAGCAGGGTTTTCTGGATACCCCTGACAGTTTGAACAAATCACAAATCTCTCAGCCATGCTCGTCCTGGATTTGTCACCAACCTTGTTCGCAGTAAGATGTGTTGTAAGCGCAGATTTTGCCCTCACTGATTTGCAAAAGTTGGCACCGGCCACCAAAACAGGCTCGTTGTCAAACGCCAGTTCAACTGTTCCATCTCTGACACTGCCAATAAAGGTTACCA